ATGACGTTATTAGTATGCCTGTTTAGTGTTTACTGTTATGTACTTATTATATTATTAATATTATTATTAATTTACATTCGTTAACACGAGCCATTTCCAGGTTATTGCGATTTGTGCTTGGCTATACCRCGGTCTGTGTTGTCTATAACGATTGTTTATTTACTTCGATCAACTTACCAGAAAATTATATTTTCAATTTCCGTGAATTTCGTTATAAAATTCTGAATTTTTATGCACCGATATTAGGTACCGTGATTTCTCACTGTATAGTTAGTTATAAGTTGTAGTTATTGTCGCTTGCACATACGGATGGAAATAAGAATTCAAACGCATTTTGTTGGATCAATAAGMACTTCTGTGTAATTGTCATCGGCAATAAACGTGTCAGTATGAGAGCAAATAATTGTTMTAATCACACCGCACACTCGTAGTCTATTTTGAGGTATGTCGAATAGTTTTTACAATTTTTTTGGATCAGTGGTCAATTTTTTGTTCTCATCAATTGCCACTTAAAATTGTTTTCACATGCTACTGTTTCACTACGCATTGTGTCCTCTACTACAATAATAGTGTAGCGCGTGCCACAGGTTGACTGACACCCCCRAAGGCCGCAATAGAGTGTCYGCACAGAAAAGTCGAGTACGGGATTACTAAATATCTTGAAAAATGTCTTATGATTAATTCGAATTAATGTCAGCGATGTGATAGGGTAATCGACACGCTATAATACTATAATGTAAAATTCAATAAGCATACAATGGAAACAGYTGCGATGACGGAACTTTTGATTATATTGTACTTACACGCTTGTCAATATCAAAGTAATGTAATATAATGCAGTTATTGTTTATTGTATTTAGGAAAGCGGTTTAAGAAGTGATGTCCTAGACGAAGGAAACGCCAAGAAATATTGGGAAATCTGTGAAAAGCTCGTGAAACTTCAACCCAACGACCCAAGACCGTAACACACGTATTGCGTATATAATGATATTATGTGTTACACACTTTTTAATCATACCTAGTGGCTATGTATCAAAACGACGATTGATTAATATTTATTATTGACAATTGTGTTGGTATATATAGCTCCGTTTATGTTGGTACAATTATTATGTACTATATATTATGATGTTATTGTATTTTGATATATAATTATAATTTAAATTGATCTATTTTATTACATAATATTAGACGCACCTACTACCTACCTATTGCGGTTTTATAATAGACTTCTTATACTTTAAATGTTAATTAAAATCTTTGTTGTTTCATAAAGTAATCAAATGAGCACCTACCTAGGTGGCTAGGTATTACATCTTTTAAAATTTTAATGCACCTGCGAATGTTTTTTTACTAACTGCAAATTTTTCAAAATAAATCGTTTAAATAACGGTAATAAAATATCTTTTTAGAGGCGTTGATAAATCTTGATATATATTTTTTAAACATAATGTATTTATAATTTATTAAATGTTCGATTTATAAAGATTATGTAATACTATTGATGGAATGGTGTTAATTTAACTCTGTTTTAGTATAAGGTTAAGGTGTTTACTATATAATACTGTGTATAGTATAGATATTTTTAGCAAAGTAAAAATATTTTTTTAACAAGACATCACTAAATATAGGTAATGAATAACTGACATTTACTTATACTATCATAATACCTACGTGTACTATATGATTTATGAACGGGTAGAACGCATTAAAACGTCACAATTAGACGGTGTAAATATTATTATAGTTTCCATTGACTATTAATCGCACGAACTACAATAAAAAATTAAAAAATGCTGTACATATGCATTTTGCATTTACTACTGGTTGTAAGAACTAAACGCTTTAAATTCTAATGTACATTAGATTAGCATACGATGACGATTTACTGTACCGCGGRGATATATACTATAATACTATAYTAGTATTATATCTACTATTACATGAATTCCTACCTGTCATCAAAGTATCAATTAATTATAAATATTATATTATATATGCMATATGRTCAGGTTAAAATGGTATTATAATTAATCAATACCATGAATACATGTTTTAAGGCGGTAAATATGACAAGAATATTATYTAAGTGACTACGTACGTATATTATTTATTTTCTTGTTTATTCGTCAAAGAGATAATGTCAATCATACCCGTGAAAACCAATTGTTTAATTGTTTTAAAATATTGATATATTCTGCGTGAAAAAAACGGTATTATTTCGGGTTCTGCTTCATAGATTCAACACCTGCAATCAATCAACAGTTTTGTTCAAATTTTATAAAATCCGTTAATTATAAGAGTTAAATAAAAGTGTTTAATGAGTAKTAGTTGTAAAAAACGACTTTAATATAAGGACATACGAACTGAAGCAGACCGAGAAAACTACGTCTACATAATATTTTATTGTATTGTAAGACTAGGGTTCGACAGACAACGCGGAAACTCGCGATACTTTATATCGGAAGGACAGAGTTTGGATTCGCTCATTTAGGCCATGTGCGTTGTTACTAATGACAAAAACTTGGAAAAAATAAATCTCTTACGGACCCATTGTAAATTAACACTTATTCATCGAACGCTGTGAATAAATGAGCGGTTTTCTATTGATGCGTGTGTTGTATAATATCATCATTATAAACGTGTATGCACGTGTAAAGCTCTAGTCGAGGCAACTTGTGCTCTTAAAATATCTGTAACGAAATAGTGGGGATACAAATCGCACGCCAACCTATAATAATTATTTGTCGCATATATRCGTCTGCTCCGTTTCTCGATAAACGCGTTTTATACAGGTATCTAAGACGAACTATTTAAACTTGAGCAAAAGTTAAACCGTGAAATTATACGCGGTGTAGAGAGACACGATATCGATGGCGACCGCGTTAAGATATCATAATATTATGGTTTTGTAAAATTCGTGAGCCTGGAAAAAATTGCATARTATTTAAAAATTGTTTACGTTCATAATATACATTGCGATAGGTTACAGTAYAGAACCGATTATTTAATATTATTATATACATGTGTCTACTTTCATGRGTAGTTTAATTTAAAATCTCTAATATCATGCCGAATCGTCACAAGCAATCGAAAATCGTAAGTTGATCGGAATAAAAATCGTTATTTAATTTTCAAACGGGCGTTTCCGCCTATTAATGTATATATATAATATATATATATATTAATACATATATATTATATATTTATAAATATATATTATATATATGTAATTATATTGTGATTCTATCCATCACGTTGGATTAGCAAATTCGATATTGTTATTTTATTCTTTTTTAGTTCACGCTGATATACAACTTATCGGGTGGTGCTATCAAATCTCAAGCCATCATAACGGTGATTGGTGAGTATTATCCAACTTTCGTTTTGTATTGAAAGTATAGCAGTTCATATTTTTTATTATTATTTTTTTATTCATACACCTCAATTGCAACTGTCCATAGGTGTTTCTAAAAATACATTAAATATACTGAATATTAAAGTTATATACCAATTATTTTAAATATGATTTACGAATTTTGCACGAGTCATGAATATTTAAGTTATTGTAGTTACATTTGATATAAAACTATGTGTATGTATATTATATTTTCAGGAGTAATTCTTCTCTTTGAGGAATTGAATTGAAAAAAATCGATGTCTCCCCCCCCCTCCATTTGGGTAGGGCCATAGTATTTCACATAGATAGATTGCAAGGGATTAAGGGAACATCTGTTTATTGCTGGAGTCTCCCGGGAGACCATCGAAGGAAGACCATGAATTATTATTGTTAGGTTAGGTTGTTTTTATTGCAGGGTCCAAAACCATTTTTGCTATATATTCTGGRGATCCGGCGGAGGAAAATATTTGAAAATGTTGGTCTTATACAGTTAGTAGATTTTATATTAGGTTTGCATCTACATATTTACATAGCGTAATGTGAAAATAATTTTTTTAATGAAACATTGCATCGCGCGTAGTTCGAGATTACGATACATGACACATTATCCAATAGTTTGATTAAAAAATACAATTTTATATGAATTTGTTAGTTTTAATAACAATTCATACGTAAAACTTCAAACTACAAAACTATATAGGTATAATATGTTATTATGTAGTTCAGGGGTGGCCAAAATTTATTCACCTTTGAGGGTCGACTTTTACAAAAAAAGTTTTTTATTATTATTTAGTATCTATAATTATTAAGAAACACATTTACATAAAGTGTATRATATCATACATTAAGTTGTATAAATTAATTACTAATGTCTAATCAGTCTTAATAAGTGATCATAATATAATTAACMCTTCTGGATTTAAATTAAATATTTTTTTACACACAATGCTTGTTGATGAATGGAAATGGAACGTTTAAAATTTGGGAAATTATTATCAATCTTACACAAAGGAATAAAGTTATACTGATAAAATTTATCAACAATGTTTTTAATTACCACCATGRTTAATTTTCGTGTGTGTAGCCTAAAAATAAATTCTAACACGATCGAMCGTTTGGCTGCCCCTGATATATAGTTGATACAAAAACCGATGTAATGCTATGCGAGTACTACGCAATGTCTATGTTACGGTGATGACTATAAATGTGCATGATGATATTCGTTGAATTTTTTTAAATGATCTGTTCTCTTTCGATTCTTACCAATATGGATATACCGCCATATATCCGGGGCCGACTCAAGGTATTTTRACGCCCCGGTCAATTTTTTGAAAGCRCCCTTAATCARATGCTCCATAATATATTTAATACTTTTTATACTTACCTATAGGTACATATTTTGTTTAAAATTCTTATATTTATGGATAGGTAAATGATTGCAAAACTTTTTTGGATACAATTTATAGACGTATCGGCTGTAAGCCTGTAACACATACTTTTTTGGTTTTCCCGAGTTAATTATTATATATCATTGTATATTATTTTTTAATTATTTGTAATATAATAATAAAAACTGGAAAGTGGAGTAAAATYTATAAAAAATCTATATAATGGAATATACTGTCATAGATAATTTAGTCATTTAGCTACCTATATTATTGTTAATTCGAATAAACATTACGCTAAATATATAAAATATTCGTATATTAAAAGCGCCCCTGGCAACCACCCGGTTCRCCCGTATCTTGGGCCGGCACTGGATATATCATATATTATATTATATTATTATCATTTATCATACTATTGAATAGCTCAGACAGTTCAGTATAATTAGTGACTGGACTTTTATTTTTAATTAAGAATGAATGAAYAAATAAACATTTGTATGGTACTTTTAATCTCAGAAGWGTATTCAAAAATGATTCATCATGAYATTGTATCGGAATAAGAAAGGTATGCAGTATGGTTGGATGGTGCCTCCTTAGACTTACGACGAAAGGGCGATGAGGTTAAAAAATTAATATTATTTGAATTAATTTGTAAATATTTTCATTCATGTCAATAAAAAATCTAGATTGCAAAAAAATAATCTATTTTAAATTCGCTACCTATTCAAAATATCTCAGTATAAGAAGAATCTGCTGATTTTAATAACAATTTAATTTTAATTGATAAAGGGACTTAAAAGTGGCTATAGCTATAAATAAATAAATATATTTATAATATAACTCATTGAAACTAAAGTGCTTCTATTCATTCGGTTTTTCTTATTGTCACTTTTTTAGTTAGTGGCAGATATACCTGAAGGCTGAAGTTTCATCAGAATAGTTATCGATACTTATATAATATATATATATATACAATTTAACGAACTACGGGTACGGGCGTAAATAAAAAATAAAATGTTTTTTATAATTTTAATAATAGTATAATAATCATACACCAATATTATATGATAGTCACACTTAAATGTGTGTTATTAATTTCAATTTTAATTATTTTACATTATTAGCAGTTTTACTATTGTTAATGCTATTGTTTTGACTATAGGTAGGTACTATTTTTATAGGTTGTTCTAACAAGCATCACCGTTATTCATATATTGACTCACKCTCCCTTTGGGCTTAGCGATACACAGTTCGTCAACCGCTGGCTTTTAAGTACATCAGCTATATCAGGTAGCTATCATATTATAAATTTATGTAGTCGATAAATTATTATCATTCGACCGTCATCTCTACATTCGATGTTAATGGCTATCAAACTATATACAAGCGAATGAGTGAACGACCATAATGACCATAATAATATTGTATAAAACGAGTAACACGATGAACATACTATAATATTATGTATTTCGCTCGTTCTCTGTTAACCTTGTAGTTTTATAATACAATAATATATTATTTTGTATCGCGACAAAACAATGCTTTTTGAAATTCGTCACGACGGTCATTAGTCGTTGGTGCGGTTAGAGACATATTACATTAACATTGCTCATTAATATTCAAATAAGTGTCGCCCGGCGAGTATAGGTTCCTATATACCACTATATACGATTTTTGCAAAACTAAAATAATTGTAACCGAAAAGAATAAAAGATAATCTTATGTGCGATGTGAGCAATTAATAATAAATTAATACATATGAATAATAATAAAAAAAAAATTACCTAGTTATATTCTAATTAATTCTGACGTGTAAAGTCGTATATGGTCTTGTTTTGTTCGGTCCTAACGGGTCTGTCAAACAAATTAAATCCCGATTCCCGATTACGAACTACAGGCACTTTAAGTTACTTTTTTAAATTAGTATGTAGATCACACAAAGAGTGACTGCGTTCTTTCTAATTTYCTAAATTATATTGAACAGTTTGATTACATTTTTATTATAACGTACAATGTATATACCTATTTTATTTTATATGAATATCAAATATTTAAACTATCCACACCTTAATTAATAGTTTTACAAATATTATTATTTTTATATCAAATAGTCATATAATATTACAACACCTATCTAATATCCTAAAATTATTGTATCAAGAAAAATAACAAATATTTTCGTTTTAATATAATATATTGGGTTATTTTATTTTTATGTTAATATTTACCTTTGCGTAAAACTTCAAAAACGAAAAATTTCAAAAAATATTTAATTCTATGGGTTATTTTCAAATCAACTGAAAAAAAACGATAAGGTGTTTCAACTGTCAATTAAACGAGTTAATGTCCATCTTTAATCATATTACCGTTGTACCTTGTACTTATGATGCATTTACTAAATGCACCCCTATATCTAGGTTAGGTTAGATWCTAGATTCGGGGTTACAGTGCTCAGTTCTCATCAACGTTCATAGAYTCTTCTAATTATTTATTAATTTATTATGTTGTAATTGTTAATWATATAAATTTAAAAAACCATGGTTAGATTATARGCGTTTATATTACGTAAAAAATAAAAAATAAATATACATTAACTCTTTTGAGAATTACCGACGGTATTATCAGCATCAGTTGTGTCGACAATTATTTCTCTGTATATATAGGTAAGGTATAATATATAAATATATAATCCATAATATAATAGGGAAACCGTAATAATAATTTACAAGTTTTGTCGCACAACCACTTTTATGGTCCACTAACTGTTTCATATAGGCAATAGTATAACGTATTTAATGTTTATGTTTTGGTATAATATCGTTATGCCGGAACATATATATATATATATTATCACGTTATATTACCGGCGAGTCGTGATTATATTGTTTTTCATCTACGAAAATTGGCTTTATCGTTGTCTGTTCGGTAGCAAAATGTAATGTTAACTCGGCAAATTGGTCAGTTTCGTCTACATTCGATAACAAACAACATTTGCCGGGTAGGTAGTTAGGTACAAGTCGTATTAACGTAACGTCCTGCAACGGCTAAATGGCGAGATTACAGCAAAAATAAAATATAAACTATTTCGTTTGCATTTTCCGCACGAAAACATTATTATGACAACAGTTCAAAAGGTATACTCGCGCGGGGAACACTATATATAAAGAAGAAAATAGAAAAACTGTACCCATATGTAAATTCCGCGACGCGGAAAGATATTTAATCGCTTTTGTCAATTACTAAAAATATTATTATTAAAACGTTATTATAACATTATATAGGGATTTCAGATACTATTTCAAACATCGCGGTTTTATAATAAACGCTTTTATCTCTATCTATCGATATCTGAAGATATGTAAATGAATATATAATATTTATTTAAACTGCCGTATGAAACTAAATATTATTTTAAAATGTACATAAATATTGCGTATGACATGGGTACACATAGACGTTTTAATTATAATTATTGTTTTTGTATACTGTGATAATTCGTCGTGTTGCACTTGTTAAAGGTACCTACTTATTAAAATGATATGATAACAGATAACTGTTAATGTATTCWYATTGTATAATACTATTGGTATAACATTGTGATTTGAAAATAAATACTTTTCGTGAAATTTCGAAGGCACTARGAAATTCGATCAATTATGGATTGCCAATTATTATGGTTTGCAAAATAATATAGGAATCCAGTCATTGATTTATGCGAAATTTTCCCCGTGATCTTTAAACCTGAAATTAAATACGAAGAAGTCTTGTTGAAAAAGTTACGAGTACAATCTCTATCTCCCACTTAAGGCAACGATTGGTGTCGGAATAGAGGGTCGGTGGTGTCGTAAATACAAAATCGTAAAGTCAATCAATTTATTTATTTTTTGGAAATCGTAAATCGACGTTGGTCTAACATTTTCATTCTCGGTGTTTTCTAACCATTTCAGCGGCACTTGGAGCCATAGCCACCGGTACCATACTCGGGTGGTCGTCACCAGCCCAGAACATGTTCGACGCCGACGAGTCACCATTTCCGTTCGAGGTCACCGGAAAAGACGCACAGATGTTTAGCTCTGTGTTCGGTATCGGGGCAGCCCTGGGAGCGCTTCCGGCAGGATACGTATCCAGGGTGTTCGGCCGGCTGGTCAGCATGATGCTGTTCGAAGGGTTCTTGTTAGTCGGCTGGACCATGCTGGTGTTTCCCACTTCCGTTTGGATAYTGTCCGCCGGCCGGATGATGCAGGGCATTGGAGTGGGAGCCCTGTGTGCCGTCATACCGTCGTACATTGGCGAGATAGCCGAGTCCCGGATGAGAGGTAAGTTGAATTAAAATGTCTAAAGCTAAAGCTGTCTTTTCTTCCTTTCAAAAATCCGACTATCTATAGATTCGACATTCGTGTTTAAGACGACTATAGGTTAAGTTAGACCATACATAAGGTATAGGACTACTAGGATACTTTTTTTTTAAAGATTCATTTTGACGTAGTTGTATGATTAAAATAAAAGTTCAAAATGAAACCAATTCGTTTGTTACTAGAAGATCACTTGGGAACCAATTCATATATTACATTATCTTTAGGGTTCTAAAATGTCATGAAATTTATTTTTAAATCAGTTTTGATGAAAAATAAAAAATGAAAAGTTAATTTAAAAATGATGTAGTAGAAAGTGTTCAGTAAACACATCTAATTATTTAAATTTTAAGTGTAATATGTAACAGAAATAGTATTGCTTACATTGTACATATAATTACGTAAGTTCCATAATTATTATCTATCATATTATATATATAGTATAATATCAATTCTACATCATGATCGAGAATTAAATATTGATAATCACAAATTTGGTATGACATTATTCTGACCATCTAGTGATGATTTTATAAAAAATATAAAATTAAAACAAAATATTTTTCAATATTTCATAAAGTCGATAACCGTATTATATGTAGGTATCTACATAACTACCGTCTATCTATATAGACTACCCGGGAACCAATTCGGTAATAATATGGGACCAACTCGTGGGCGTCTATTGAAATTAAAAATATTATTTTGTTTGGTACCACCTGTTAATATCATAGCAATATTTAAAAATTACACATGTATTGGTAGGTCGTCTGGGAACGATATTCCAATTATTTATAGTCGTCGGCATACTGTATTCGTACATATCGGGTGCGTTCATGAAGTACCTGCCATTTTGCATCGCCTGTGCCTTTTGGGTGATTTTACATTTCATCGGCGTTCTGTGCATACCTGAATCACCGTATCATCTGATGAACATCAACGATCACGTAGGGGCGGCCGCTTCAYTGCARATACTTCGAGACTTGTCAGACACGACCGAAGAGTTGAAATCCATCAAAGTATGACTGATTTCTATAGTACGCATGTATATAATAATTAATAATTATATAAAACAAAGCGTCTTTTATAACGGGGATTCGAACTAGGTCGTTTTTAATTTAAAGGGCTGCACAAAACTGCACGGATTTTTACCTATTATTTTTTTTACTAATAATTGCTTATTAGAAAACTAAAAAGAACTAAATTGCCGAGAACCTAACCTCCTCGTAGTGTCTCATGGGTTTCACTTGAATATTTGACTAAATATTGAAAAAAATATTTATTGACCCGGGAATCAACTCAACGGTATCGATGCAGGTGTTAACCTGCTCGGTACTCGGGAATTAACTCGTATGMAACTCAATACGGATCTGGTTTTAAGCATATAGTTTTATGCATGGATTCAACTCTTATACATAAAATATTGAACGGTAAAATAGGAATATACTATAGTGATCATATTATATAACTAGTAAAATAAAATAAATACAAATTAGAAAGAAAAAAAATTAGAAAACATTTTCACATACGACGTACAAAGTGAATTGTCAGTGTTGTAAATGAACTTAAATTTTTTAAGCTAATTTAAAAAAAATTCAACATATTATATATTAATAATATTAAAGTTAGTGCGCTATTTTATGAATTCGGAAACCAATCGAAATCAATCTGAGGTGCGAAATAATTCACCTTGTATGTGATGAAGTTAGAATAATTGAAAGTTTTTTTCTTCAGATATTCGTCGAAAAGCAACAATCGCAAAGTTATACGGTATTGGAAGTGTTGTCAGACAAGGTGAATCGCAAGGCCCTTATGATCAGTATTGGGTGCATGTTTTTTCAGCAAATGAGCGGTATAAACGTTGTGATATTCTACATGACCGATATATTCAAATCGACCGGTAGCACCATGAATCCGAACATATGCACCATAGTTGTCGGTGTAGTACAGGTAAAATGGTGCCAAAGATTGAGTCACAAATATAACTTAGCTGAACTTTATAGAGAATTGAAAACGACAGATTTAAATAAATCACACAGCGTGTTGAATAAAAATCATTTGTTAGTAAACCAAATGATTATAATACAAATAAAAGAGATAATATGCAAATCTTACTATAATATATCTATCGTCATTAATATATATTTATCATGGATCGTAAAAATTATATTACTCGCCCAATCTACTATCGTTTCTGTAAGATTCATAGATTTGTACTGATAATTTTGCCGTCCACATAATAACGTACGTCCTTCGCCCCATACGAATTTCAAAAATTGTTTTGGTTAGATATTTAACATGTAATAAATGTGAACTGGCTTGAATTTTAAAAACGCGTACACCCAAAGGTGCCATCTCCCCCTCGAGTGAAAAAAACATAAAATTCAAAAATTAGATGAGCCTGCACTCTCTTCAGAGAAAAGCGTCTCTACAATGTTCTCATCCTCAATATATGTAAAATATTATATATAGTATATAATAATATATCGTACCTACGCGTCCTGCACAATATATTATAAATAAGTAAACTAATAGTTTAGTCTCCATTTACAAGAAGTCTTGAAATTATAACACTATTTTACTTTAGCTCGTAATATATGTCAATACTGATTAWTGTCATTTACTATTTTTGGTTTTGTTTTATATAGCTTATCATGACGGTCGTGTCTTTTACGATCATCGACAAAAGTGGTCGAAAGGCGTTACTCGTCCTGTCGGGGTTGCTGATGGCTAACTGCTACGTGGGTTTAGGCGGATTTTATTTGATCAAAACTCATTATCAAGAACTTGCTTCGAAACTTAACTGGTTGCCCTTAGTGTGCATTGCTGTGTACATATCGGCATTTTCCATCGGTTACGGTCCCGTGCCTTGGATAATGATGGGTGAAATTTATTCGTCGGAGGTTAGTAACGTGCTGAAAGTACTTTTCAAAGTCGGCTTCACTATTCGCATATATTCTTCGCGTATATACGTCTCTTTGAGCGCCGTATACTTAAA